TAGCAAGTACACTCTAAAAAGAGCATGTAAAACTACTACTGAAAAGTATCTATTTTTCAACAAGAATCTGTATAAATATACACATAAATACACATATATAGAATGTTTAAAATTGCAAAAATTTCCAAACTACAAATACATTTCCTACTAATAATAAACATTACTTTATTTTAAACAATGTATGTGTAAAAGTAAACGCAATGATTAATTTTATTACACGGCGTGCAAATTTGCACACATTAAAAGAGGAATCTGAATCTGAATTTTTTTAGAGTGTATTTAAAGTCTTTTCAGTAAAATTCATAAAAGTTTCCTTAAATAAATCAAATTTAGTTTTTTAAACTACATTGAAATCTTCTTTCTTTTTAAATTAACAAATGGAAATATGTGATATGAAAGAGATTACTACAGAAAGAGTATAATTTACTTTATATATATCGTCGTTTAAAGTACATTCGTCATTCTGCAAAACCGCGTAACTGACGTTTGCTGCCAAAAATTGGATTTGCTCACACAAGCTCTTGGCTCAATCCTTATCCATTCGTCCTGAAATATACTAGCCAGAAGTGCGATTGCTTTATAAAAAAGAGAACCATTTTGAAATATAAGTGTTTTTACTCTCTAGAAAATAATTTATATAATTTATGCAACGTCACATACGAGGTTCTGCATTATCTTGATACGCGGTTTTGCATTTTGTTGATACGCGGTTTTGTACTTTAAACGACGATATGTTTATTAAGATCTTGCTTATAGCGGAGACAGACAGGCTGAGTTAAGTTGAATTAAGTGGCACAAATGCAGATACGATTTTTACCCCTGACAGACAGCACCATTGTGCATAACAAATTTTCTTCTTCTACCTGCGCATTCAGTTATCAGCTGATTTGACAAAAACTTTGAGCTCAAAATGGAAAGGAGAGAAAAAATACGATTAGCAGCTATTTTGTTTGCAAAAAACAATTACTTATTTAAAAAAAAACTTAACACTCTTCTCTTAAAATTATTCAACAATATGAAAATAATTAATTCATTGGCAAGCATAGACCTTTCCACGATGTTTGAAGCTGGGATTGTTACACTTCCTGATATAAGAGAAAGGCAGCTGTGGAAATTGGTAAGCATATCTTTTATTTCCATTAATACAATAAATATGCGATATTCTTTAAAGGATCGCAGCGGCACATTTTGGGAGCGTAATGTTCCTTTAATGGACGAAAATCGTTTCAAAGAAAATTTTCGACTCAATAGAAATGCTTTTGGGAGAATTTGTGAAAAAGTTGGAGGCATCGAAAAGGCGAACACTCATATGAGGCCATGTATTCCACTTCATAAAAGAGTGGCTATCTCACTATTCGCATTGGGATCTGCAGCGGAGTACAGTACTGTTGCAAGTCTTTTCGGAGTAGGACGCAGTACTGTTGGCGAAATTGTTTTGGATTTTTGCCAAGCAGTATGCGAAAATCTATCTGATTGCATTAATTCATATCCTCCAAACCAACACCAAATCAGAAAAGTTGTTGATGGCTTCGCGCAAACTGGGTTTCCTCAATGCTTTGGAGCTGTGGATGGCTGCCACATAGAAGTTCAACCACCAAAAGATGATGCAACAGACTATTACAACTACAAGGGTTGGTATTCAGTGATCTTGCTAGCGAGCTGTGACCACCGGTATATTGAAACCTTTATTAAGATTTCTTTATAACAATTTAATGTAATGCCTAACTTTTTACAGATCAAAATTTACTTACATAAATATTGGATCTACTGGTAGAAACAACGACTCTTACATTTTCGAAAAGAGTACATTGAAAAGATTCCATGAAACTGCCGATATTTTTACGCAGAATAGCAAATTCATAGGCGGCATCAATGTACCCGTTCTACTAATAGGCGATTCTGCTTTTCGCCTCTCCCGGTATATGATGAAACCGTTTCCATATTCGCCGAATCAGCCGTCTATAGAAAAAACCTTTAACTACCAACTATCTAGGTGTCGTCGTCTAATCGAAAATGCATTCGGTCAACTTAAAGCACGGTTCAGAAAAATAGGTAGAGGTTTACAAGTCGCCCCAAAAAACATAAATACCATAATTAGAACGTGCTGCATTTTGCACAACTTCTTGAAATTAGAAAACGACGAAGTTTCTATTGGTTGGATGCAAGATTCAAGAGAAGATATTAATGCTAGAAATCAGCCAAGGCACACTACAAGAGTCGTCGAGAGTGATGTGAATGCGTCCGCTATTAGAAATGCAATAGCTCGCAGTTTCCGTAAGCAAAAATATTACAAGTTACCTATAAACATTAATCTATATCCGGAAACAGCAATAAATAAAAGTTTATTTATGTACATTACATTCATTCTTTTATTAATCCACTTTTTTACTATTAACTATCTTTTTCTGTCAATTTTTTCATTAACACTACTTACTAACTATAACAACCTATTAATCTAATAACTATAAAATTAAAACAAAATTCAGTCTATACATTTCTGACATTTGGTTTATTTTTAAAGAAATTAATTTTAACATTCACTCGTCTTAATCTTATAACTATAAAATTAAAACAAAATTCAGTCTATTCATTTGACATTTCGCTTATTTTTAAAGAAATTAATTTTAATATTCAGTCGTCTTAATCTAATAACTATAAAATTAAAAGAAAATTCAGTCTATTCATTTGTCATTTCACTTATTTTTAAAGATATTAATTTTAACATGCACTCGTCTTAATAACTGTAACCCACCCTACATTCACAAGTTTTACTAACTATTTTTTATTATTTAATTTAAGTTTTCTTCTATATAGTCTATTTTTAATCAGAAACTGTATAATTCCAAATTTCAAACAGTAGAAATTTCTGTAAAATTACATCTAAGTTTTGAGCTTTTTATTGTTTCTTAGACACATTTTTAATATGCAGTTTTATAGCCCGTTGAATTTTAGTAGAATTAAGTGTAAGTGTAAAGTTCTAAAAAATCCCGCTGAATTTCGGCAATTCTTTTTGCTGGCAGCGTAACGTATTTTCCTCCATACAAAGTATGTTTGACATTTTTTTATATGAAGGAAAATTACCAAAACCGAAAACAAAAAATTGCCAGAAGTCAGCGGAATTTTTCAGAAACTTCACACTTGCACTTTGTTTTAATAAAATTTGACAGGCTATAAAACTGCATACTACAAATCTCTCTAAAAAACAGTATTAAAAAGCTGAACATATAGATGCATTTTTGCATAAGTTATCTACTATTTGAAATGTGGATTTGTACAGTTTTTGCTTAAGAATAGACATGTATTTTTATAAAAAAAAATTAAATAATAAAAATGTTAGTGGGTAAAACTTTTCAATGTGTGGTGGATTTATAGCAATTTATTTTTTTTTTTTCGTAGGAGAGGGAAATGCTTTATGCACTGGCCGGGGGCGCTAGTCTCTATACTACCTTCCCCGAGTGTGGGACTCCCACCGAAGCGTGTTGGACTACCCACTAAAACCCAAACTCCCACCGCCCGCGCAAGAATCCCGCATCTGGCACCGCAATTCTGCATGTCTTCAGATGCAGGAGCGCGCTGTTAGAGCCTTGGGGCTGCTCTTTTGTAGGGGCGTTTCATTCGGGTGTCCTCAGTAGACAACCATCCTCTCGTTTGCAGCGGAGTACGAATTTCACGTATCTCGCAACTGCTTCCCACTTTTCTGCGCTGGAAATCATTATCCCAACTATGTTGTTCGGAGTTATGTCTCCGTGTCTTTCTTCCAACATTCTGCGCGAAATCAAGAAGTGTTCGCAGGTGAAGAATGTGTGGTACACGTTATCTTCGACGTTTCCTCAGTAGTGACAGAACGGTGAGTCCACCCTTCCCATTCTATGAAGATATTCTCGGAAGTAACCATGACCGGTGAGGAATTGCGTCAGGTAGAAATCGACTTCCCCATGTGGTCTGTTCAGCCATGTTTGAAGGTCGGCTATCAGGGAGTGTGTCCATCGACCTTTTGTGCTCGCGTTCCAGTTTTGTTGCCACTGCTGGATCAGTTGCTCGCGCGCCCTTGCCGCGGCAGCTGCTCGACCTATCTCGGCACTGAGATTGTAAATCTCTTTTCGCTCGTAAGCAAGTACCTCAATTGGCATGACGCCAGAAATAACTAGAACCGCGTCCGCGGACACTGTACGGTATGCAGAAGCAATGCGTAGTGCCCCTCTGCGCTGTACCGAAGACATTTGAATCCGGTATTTTTTGACTTTCAATGCGTCAGCCCATATTTCTGCCCCGTACAGGAGCACCGATTGGACCGCTGTCATCAGAAGCTTCCTGCGGCATGGCTTCGGGCCGCCCACGTTCGCCATCAGCCGGCTTAGAGCCGCCGTGCTCTGCGGAGCTTTTTCACATACTCCATGGATGTGTTCCCAGAATGTGAGTTTGCTGTCAAGCTTCACCCCTAGGTATTTTGTAGACCTAGAAGTCGTCACGAGTTGAGGTCCGACCATTATATATATAATCCGTTTCCTGGTGAGGAGCAGGATCTCCATTTTGGCTGTAGCCAATTGCAGACCGTGATCGCTCATCCATCCACTGACGTTGCGCATGACCTGGTTTAGCTTGAGCTGTGCTAGCTGGACATTTCTTGCTGTTATGACGGCTGCCACGTCGTCCGCGAAGGCGACAAGGAAGGCGCTCTCCGGCATTTCCGTGCGCAACAGACTGTCATACGTGGCGTTCCAGAGGTCCGGGCCAAGTACAGACCCCTGTGCCGCTCCGCCGGTTATACGTCTCTTTCTCTGACCTTTTGTTGTGTCGTACAAAAGCCAACGGTCTCTGAGGTAGTCCCGGATCATATCTAGCACGTATGTTGGAACCTTGAATGACCGTTCCAAGGCCTCCAGCATATCGTCCCATCTTGCGGAGTTGAAGGCGTTCTTGACGTCCAGTGTGACTAGCAGCACTATTTATAGCTATTACGACGAGTGTATGTACACTTATTTTCTAAATCTTATCTATTAAAACCTTCATTAACTTTAAAAACTCTTTCGAGGTGTCATTTTGCTCCCTTATGGCAGTAACAACCTCATTTGTTAGCACCTTGGTATCATGCACAACACTCCTTAGCAATTCTGTGTGTTCCTGCATGATTCTGATCACTTCTCCCGAACGTTTTCTTTTTCTTCCAGAAGAAGCAGGAGGAGGAAAGCAGTGGTACTGGCGAGGGCGTCGATGCTGCTTCCATGGATGGCGATGGTGAAGGTGTTGACGGTGCTAACGGATGCGATGGAGATGGTGCTACTACCGACTGGCTGGATTCATTAAGTATTGTGTCCTAGGAAATGTATTTACATATGTAAATATTTTGGAAAACAAAATAAAAGTGAACGGAAAATACATACTAATAAAAATGACTCGTGCACTTCCGCATTGTTCACAGCGGTTCCCCCAATAATTTGGTGAACCACCATATAATGCTTCCATGTTGATGGACTGCCACCTGACGCACCCACATTTTTTTTCTCATCCCTGCAAATTTATGTACGTATATATTAATATGGTGCACTAATTTATTTGATAGAAGGGGTACGGTTTAGTTATTTTCCCAATGATTTCACTCATTTATTATTTAAGGGTGCACGCGATCAATTCGGCATAGGGCTCATTCGAAAGGGCACGGTTTAGCCTTTAATTTCTGATATATGCAAAATTTGTACCACGTCAGGGTTCAGCTCTATAATTTTTCGAAAATGGCCAAAAACGCTGTTTTTAGGGGTTTCAACCCCTTTTTTCTCGAAAACGTGACGTGATGGGACATTTTTGACGGATTCGTGTTCAGCACGAAAAATCCGTTCAGAAACACCAGGTCCCGTCTTATTCGCAGAAAAAAAGTTGAAATTTGTAGACCAGTGTAATCCTTGTTGTCTGTCTTCCCTATTATAAAGCATCCTTTTAAGGTAATTAAAGCAATTGCGCTTATACCTATTTTGGTGAGATCTCTTCATATGTTCATTGCTTCGTTCACAAAAAATAAAATGCTTTAATTTCACGCTTAAGTAGCGATTCTTTATACGTTTATAAAACGTAATGCTTTCTACCATCTTTAATGAAAATCGATTTTTGAACGAAAAAAACTTTATAGGAAATATAAAATTTTGGCCTATTTAAAAAAGTATCCACATTTATACTGACCGGAAAAAATAAGTATCCCGCAAAAATTCGTCTAAAAATGTATCCAATTGGATCTATTTAGATCCAAACGGCATCCCTGGTGCTGACTTGTTATTTGTTTCTGCGGCACTTATGTTACTTATGTACTTTTCTCTGTAAAGACAAAATGCATGCATATGTACATACATACATAAATACATACATACATATATAAATATGCAGGAAATGTATTTACATATGTATGTATATAGCTAAAAAATATTTCATTCCATAATCTATGCTTATGTATGTAATAAATTGTATTTGTTGTTTTAAATGCACAGCGCACGGTAGTGCGCGCGAGTGACGAAAGCAGCAACAGTAGCATGCTGAAAAGACTCCAGACGTCCAATCGACATGATATATCGTTGGAAAGGTCTTGCAGAGTGTGTCCAGAAAATGTATTCAAGCTTCATAACCGATTAACCGGGTTCTTAAAAATTAGGCTAAAGTGTTGCGAAACAAAAAGTTTTTTTGCTATTGCCGGTTTAGGGGGGCATGTGGGTACACCCAACATATTTAGTGTTATTCTATAGGCCAATTCCTTTCAAACGGTACCTTACATATTAAGTTCCGGCTACTAGTTGGAAAGATATAGAGGTAACTGTGTTTTGGTTCGTGTCTCCACTACGAGATGCTTTGGTATGTATGTGGCGTCTGTACGTACCATCATTTAACTTTTTTCAAACTTTCAGGAATTAAAGTACACAAAAAACTAAAAAGGTTTTGTTCCAGGATGTTTTGATTCGTATGCCTGTGTGGGCCTGCATGAAATTCGAAAAAAGGCAATTTTTTAAACTACCACTGAGGCCGCACTACTCAGTCCATGTCATTGATGTGGATATCAGTAGAAGGGTCTTCAAACAAGCTATCTAACGCTGTCTTCTCTGTTTATAAAATATAAATATGCCATACCGTATCGCCTGAAAACTAAAAATCAGGCTGCTGAAAATAGAGATTTCGGGCATTTTCTCAAAAACTGGTCAGTCGATTTTATTCTAAGTTTCCACAAGTTTAGCCCAAAACCTTAGCTTTCATCTGGTACAGAGCTTATATCTGGGAAAACTCTTGTTGTGGAGATATTGCTATTCAAATTGAAAAAATTTTGCTCCAAAAAGTGTCAAATGGTTAAAAATTAACATAGCAAATTGGGGAATTTCCCGCGAGTTGACAAGTTGAAGGATGCAGCTGTGCTAATCACTTCGTACATGTCTTGGAAACCACAATTTGTGTGTATTTTAGAGTTTTTTTCAGTCACATGCCGAAATCGTAACATTCTTCCCCATTTTAATTGCAGGTATGTACACAGTATTTAACTATGCTATAAACCCATGTATATCACCCGCACTTAACCTACCTGGTATTTACCTATAGTTGTACATAAATATGTAAGTATGAATGCATTTAGTTCACCCAATGTGCCGCTACTACTTACATACATATGTATAAATTGCCACTGCGCAAAACTACTTGAGAAAAAATCATTAGTTTAATAGCACGAGTGCAACACCGTACACGTGATAGAAGTAAAAATTCTTGAAAAAAATCACATGTGTGCGCCCCACACCCAGTAGAAGTCTTAACAACAATTAAACTACGGGGAAATCAGACGAATACAGTTGTTTATTGTATCCAAAGTTGGTACCAAGTTGATAAGTTTTTATCATTTCTCATATTTGTTTTTTTTTTTAATTTTTTCGAATACATATCATCCTTGATATCATCATATCCTTGATCATCCTTTTTTGCTTTATTCCGTATTCGAAAAACAATGTGTCTCAATGGACACATCGATTTGAATACGTAATTTAGATTTAGAGAATATTTTTAGCAATTTATTTGAGAAAAATAAAATTATAGTTTAAAAAACCAAAACCTCCCTATTATAATTGCCATTCGAACTGTCGTCAGGTATGTAACTTGAGAATAGGAATCGCTGCATGTTTTAGGCGCATCAATATTACATAGTTACATCCCGAGTTAATATAAGGAAGGTAATAATAAAACATTTAGTTTATTGTTTGTATTTTCGTCGATTTTAAATTTGCTACCCCAAAATAATTGATATCAAATAAAACACCTCTTTGAGGTAAAATTTTCGAGTGACGAAATCTGAACTAGAAACACAAAATTTATGATATCAATTTCGTGACGAAAATTATACGCATTTTTTAACTGCCTTTCAAACGTACGGAAAATCTTTTTTTATTTATTCGGAACGTTGTGAATTTCCATTTACTGCTGGAAACACAATTAAAAAAAAAAAAAACAGAACTTTTGCAACGATTCGTATGAATAAAAAAGATTTTCCGTACGTTTGAAAGGCGTATAATTTTCGTCACGAAATTGATATCATAAATTTTGTGTTTCTAGTTCAGCTTTCGTCACTCGAAAATTTTACCTCAAAGAGGTGCTTTATTTGATACTAGCAGACCCGGCGAACTTCGTCGCGCCCAAAATTTTTATATATTTTATTGAAACTTTTTGGTCCAACATTTTCGCCAACAATTCACGTTTACGATTTTCATTGGCACATTTGTCTGCTAAGATTAAGGTTTGGTGGTCATTTGCCGCTTTAAATAACCTAAGGAAAGTGCTATATCCGCTCTTGAAATTCTCCAGTTGTGCGGCATTTCATTTTCACTCCCTGGCGGCAACAATGACCCGGTTCTATAGTGAATGTCCTAGAAGCTTTACAGTATAGTAGGTGGCAATTTCAAAATGGGTGCGAATCATTGTTCTACAGAAATGCAATATACATATACTTGTTTTAGACGAAATACCTTAAAAGTTTGAACGCATAATAATATTAGAAAATCACATCCATTGGGCCAATTGCAACGCAGGAGCGTTCGATATACTCAATGGTGCAACAGGTCGATTTAATCTGACCTTCACGGCCCCTTTTCTCACTTGGCTATTTTTAGTAATAGCTCGACTTCAGCACCACTTGGCAGCACGTTTTTGCAATAGTATTGCATACATATTTAAAACATTAGCCAAATCGGATCATAAATAAGATTTTTAGTAATAACTCAACTACAACGCCAACTGTCGGATTAAATTGTGAAACTAAACCATCCAGAGACCCACTCAAATACACAAAAAGTTTCGCTAAAATCCGTACAACCATTTAGGAGGAGATCACTCACAAACACACCTACAGAAGAATAAAAAAATTCATTCAAAGATAGCTAAAGGTCGGTACGTTTGTAGGCCTCACTCCCCTTTTCAAATAGCCCAAATTTTTTCCATGAGTATGGGCTTGATTTCAACTATATACATATCTCCATACGAAGTTCCAGTACTGTACCATGAATACTTTCAGAGATATGCAGTATAAAAATTCGATTTATATGGGAGGTGCCACGCCCCCCTTTCCAAGAGCTGCCCTCTTTCTTCATGAGTATGCGATTGATTTCGTATATCTCCATACCAAGTTCCAGAACTCTACCATGAACACTTCCAAAGATAGGCAGTATGAAAAATTCGGTTTGTATGGAAGATGCCACGCCCCCTTTTCCAATAGTTCCAATTTTTCTCCAAGAGTATGCGATTTATTTCGTACATCTCCATACAAAACTCTAGAACTCTACCAAAAAATTTCCAGAGATAAGCAGTATGGAAAATTCGGTTTGTACGGGTTGTGTATGGGAGATGTCACACCCCTTTTTACAATAGCTAAAATTTTTATCCAAGGGTATGCGATTGATTTCGTATATCTCCATAACAATTTCCAAAACTCTACCCTGCACACTTTCAGAGATATGTAGCATGAGAAATTCGGTTTGTATGGGAAGTGCCACGCCCCCTTTACATATAGATTTTTTTTCAGCCTAAAACCATCCTTGGGACACGTGCGGCAGGTGGCAGTTTCAAAAAAATCGGTTCAGCCGCTCTCGAGCCTTGCGAAAACTAACAAACGGCTTTCTAAATATATATTAGTTGAGATATATTATATATTATAATTATATTTTAACAGTATTCGTTGTTTCTGATTGGCGCAAAAAAATCTTGCCTAGTGACCAATTCGCCCCTTGATATGGTCATTACTTAAAGCTACTTATATTCGAAATTGCATGAAAATTGGAAAACAGGAATCTATAAGCTTATCCATGCAAAAAGCTAC